GAAACCCAAGGAGGGGTCGCTATGAGTCAGGGCTGACTAGACGGTACATAACAACAACAACAACAAAAACAAATGAGTAGACACAGAGATGGAGGAAGAGAGGTCCCAAGCCACATGAAGATGGCCCAGAAGCAGAAGCTCAAAGAGACAAGGACCTTCCTTTAGAGCTGGCAAAAAAAAAAAAAAAAAAGATTTCCTATAGAGCCAGCATCCTGAATTTCAACTTACAGCCTCCTAAACTGTGAGAAAATAAATTTCTGTTGGTTAAAGCCATGCATTTACGGTATTTCTGTAACAGCAGCACTAGATTACTAATAGTGAAAATGCCTGGCCAAAAGTCACATTGCAAATTAACAGAAGAGTATGGTCAAGAAACCAGATCTCAAAACCAGGACTTCAAATTGGTTCGAATCAGTTCAGTCATAGCCAATGAAGCAAAACTGGAACAGACTCGAATCTTTAAAATTTGAGTGAGTTGGTGCTAACCGTAACGGAAGAAACTACAGGTCAAAGCCCTGGAATGGGACACTCACAAGAGCCATGGTGAGACCTTCCCAGAGCCTGATGCAGCCGGCTGGATTACTGCCAGGACTGTGGAGTGCGACATACATTCAACGCAACACAGCCAGCCTCCATCTTTGAGCCGGGCACCGTTGTTACTGACACCACTAGTTAAGAGATACTGTTGTTATATAACAAACTGCCCTTGTTTTCTAAGAGGGGGGAGATTAAGTTTCTAGCAGGTCTTCAACCCTTAATTTTCCCCATTCCAGTTAGCATTCTGGTTCATCCACATTTTTAAAATTCAGGTCTGTTCTGGTGTCTCTCCATCTGCCATGACTTAACTGAGCTAAACTGATTTTGACATCTTGCTCAAAACTCCGCAGAACATTACTTCACACCTATGCATTTGGCTGTACGTCTTGGAGATTTGGCTTGGATATGAACATCAAGAGGAAAGCTTAAAAACTGCTTCGGATATGCTCTTACTAGCTGATAGCAATCATTAAACAGAGCAGCAGTAATGGTCATCACACAGAAGATAAGAAGTTCTAAGAGGCCTTCTATTTTAAAAACAGGTATGGTGGAAGAGGCTTAAACCTTACTCTGCTTGCCCCTGTGGGCTATAGATTGAGATAGATAGGCACATTTGACGTCAGCTACTCAAAATTTAGTTCCCAATCCAAACCTACAAGTCCCACCAGACTACTGAATGCCACTAGAAAAACACTGTCTACTTTACATCAGTACACATTCTACAGATAACAAGTTCTTATCTACTTGCAAACTACTAGCTAAAAGTTCAAATTTTAAAACTGCCCTAAGATTTAGCTTATCTTAAAAAAACTGATTATTTAATTCTTAAAATCTGTAACACCCACTTTGTAACATTTGGTCAGTTAATTCAAGGATTTACAAAGAAAAACACATTTTACGTATAAGGACAACTACACTACTCGCAGGATCCGATGAGCTATGTATATACCAAGATTAACAATCCGAGGTCCTCTATCTGAAGTTGCTCTTCAGAGATGAACACAGATTCTGCAGGGTAGCTGAGCGATGGAGGCTCTTCAGACGGAAGATTTAGCCCCTCCACCCACAACTCTCTTTGCATTTGAGTTTTGGCCTCCAGCAGCGACACCCCCAACCACCGCCCCTTCCGAGCGCGTCCCGCCGCCTGGGCACCTGCAGGCAAGTGCCCGCAGGGTGGGAGCCCGGGGGAACTTGCCACCGCCGGCCCCTCCGGGCCACGGCGCCCACTCCCACTCTGCGGCCGGCGACCAGAGGCCTGAGCCCATCGAGAAGCTCCCCTCGGCGGCCGCCGACCTCGATACGCGGCGGGAAGCGACGAGCACGGTAACGTTACCTGAAGGACCACGTCGTTGGGCAGCTGCGCGGCCCGGAACAGCTCCAGCACGCGTCCGTTGGCGGCCACCTTCTTGGTGCTCTCGATGTCGCAGTAGGAGAAAAGGTCCGAGTAGTATTTCTGCTCTGCGTCGCTCAGCGTTAAGCCTTCCATCTTCTTCTCCGGCTCACGGCCGCCCCGCCCCGCATGCAACACCCGGGGCCCGATCCCTAGACCACGGGGCGGCGGGAGCTGCGCGCGGCCTCGCGGCCCGGCCTCCCCCTCGCCCCCCAAAGCTGCCGGGCACCCCAGCCCTGGCCTCACGCGCGCCTGGTGCGCCCCAGCAACAGGGCCCCGGAGGTCGGGAGGAAGGGGCCCGACTGTACGGAGCGCGCCGCTGCCTGCGAGGGCCCGCGCAGTCCCAGGCTCAGCGAAGCGCACGGCTCCGGCTCTGCAACCGCGAGGTGGGCGCGGGGAAGGAGGCGGTGGCCAAGGCGGCGCGAGGCACAGGCTGACTCTGCTACCGCCCCCGCCACAGGTTCGAGTCTCCCGGGCTCCCTACCGCTTCTCCCCGACTTCCCGCCTCGGTTTCCCCTTCCGTCCAAGCCCCTGGAGCGGCAGTACTTCCCGGAAAGTTGTGGGATTTTGAGTCTAAAGTTTCGGGGGCTCTAGGCTGAAGAGAGCCGGCGCTCCGCCTCCCTTCGCCGCCATTTACTGCGCCCCGGCCCGGCCCCCGACGCGCCCGCACCAACACTGACAGCGGCGGCTGCGTTCCAGACCCGGATGTGAGGCGGGGAGGAGAGAGCGCGAGAAGGAGAGAGAAACACCCACCGGGTTGGCTCGACCACTCCCGGGAGAGGGAGCCCGCAGCGACCTCTGGTGGCCGGAGCCCGGCGGCGGGATGGTCAATCAACCTCAGCGCCAGGAGCCCCAGGAAACCCGGACCAGGAAGGAACAGTGTGTAGCTCATTAAGAACAAGAGAACATAAATACGGGTTGTACTTTGGCTTTTTCGAAGCTTCTGCCACTAAGAATAGTAGACTGCAAAGGAGAATGTTGTTGAGATTATTATTGTATCTGTACCTTTTGATGTCAGATGTAACTGAGGATAAATTTATATTTGTCTGCTCTGAAAGCCCATGAACATCCATCTGGTACCCTTCATCATGTAAACACAAGCGCTGAGATTTAACACACTCTTGTCCCCAAGCCAAAATTTGCTGAATAGAAGAAACTACTGGCAAAGTTTTCCTCTTTGTACAAGGTCATTGTGGTGACCAGAAACGTAATCCCGTACGTTTATACAAACTCTATAAAACCATATGGGTTCTGGGTGGACCACAGGGGCTCCCCCACCCCGATTTCCCCCATTCTAAAATTTATAGAATTGCAGTTGTTCTAACCTGCAAACCTGAGAGAGATTCTTAAGATAGCTCAAATAGGGTATCTTAACAAGAGTTTATACTTAGTAGGTAATACTTCAAAGATAGCAGCTACAGCAAAATAATATAAGGTTTTCAAAAAACTTTTTTTTTTTTTTTTAATTTTATGTCTTCTAGAGATGTTTTGGGAGCTCTCTGGCATAGTGCCTAAGGCACTTGACTGCTAACCAGAATGCTGGCAGTTCAAGCCCACCAGCCACTCCTCAGAAGGAAGATGGGGCAATCTACTTCCGTAGAGATACTGCCTCGGAAACCCAAGGAGGGGTCGCTATGAGTCAGCATCTACTCCATGGCAGTGAGTTTGGTTGTTTTTTTTTTTTTTTGGTTTATAGCCTTTTTGTTCGCAGAGTGCTGATCACATAAATGATCATAGGAGGAAGTTAGTACAGGTTCCCGATCTTTTATCTGTAAATCACAATTCCAAGAACCCTGTAAAACTCAAAGTTTACTTGTGACACTGGCCACAAAACTTGCCCTGACTAGAACTCATTTAGAGGCAAAATTTTAACTAAGACTCACATGAGATTATTTATAGTCTTTATGTGTGCCACTTAGTGTCAATATTTATACATTTTACAACAGACCCCATTGGGGATGTTATATTATACATAGTTTTAGGCACTGTATTGCCATTCTTGGAAAAAAATATAAAAAGGTACTATTTATGTTCTGCTTAATTTATACACACACTGAGAAAGACATTGAGCAAGACATGGGGTCTGATCTCGAAGTAAACTATGAAGCTCTACAAACCATACTAACAATACAGAAAACGAGGGAGGGAGGGAGGGAGAGTAGTAGAGAGGGAGGGAGGGCCAAAGGAAAGAAGAGACAAAAGCAAAGCAGGAAAGAAAGAAAACACAGTAAATTCCATTTCATCACGTTGTTGCTGTTAGGTGCAATCAAGTGGATTCCAACTCATACTGACCCCATGTGACAGAACAACTGCCCCCAGAGTTTTCTTGACTGTAATCTTTATGAAGGCACATCTCCCCGTCTTTCTCCCACGGAGCAGCTGGGTAGGTTTGAAAAACTAACATCTCAATTAGCAGCGGAGCACCTGATACTTGTAACGTTTTATGTAGATAAATACTAAAATGCTCACTAACTTCATATATCCCCTATCTTTAAAACTTGCAATTTGCCACAGCTATGCTCTGGTAACATAGTGCCTAAGGCACTTGACTGCTAACCAGAAGGCTGGCGGTTCAAACCCACCAAGCCACTCCTCGGAAGGAAGATGGGGCAATCTACTTCTGTAGTGATACTGCCTCGGAAACCCAAGGAGGGGTTGCTATGAGTCAGGTCCGACTCGAGGGCACATAACAACAACAACAACAACATGCCTCAAATAGGAGCTCTGGTAGTGTAGTGCCTGAGGCACTTGACTGCTAACCAGTAGGCTGGCGGTTCAAACCCACCGGCCACTCCTGGGAAGGAAGACTGGGCAACCTACTTTCTTAGTGATACTGCCTCAGAAACCCAAGGAGGTGTCGCTATGAGTCGGGTCCGACTCAACGGCACATGACAACAACAACAACATGCATCACACATACTTACAGGGCCCAGGACCCAAGGTGATCAGAGCCATGCAGAAGGCCTGTCTTCTAAAGGGACAAATGGGAGGAGCATAACAGAGCAGGGATTGGCTCACAATTGTCTTCAGCATCACATGTTTTCTGTGCTATCTTTCCTGGCACTTGCAGATCATTTCTGCAATCCCCGCTGCGCCCCCCCCAAAAAAAAAACCTTTGAGTCGATTCTGACTCATCATGACCCTATGGAACGGAGTAGAAGTGCTGCATAGGGTTTCCAAGGCTATAAATCATTATGGAAACAGACTGCCACATCTTTCTCCTGCGAAGTGGCAGGTGGGTTTGGACCACCAACCATTTGGTTAGCAGCTGAGCCCTAAACAACTGTACCACTAGGGCACCAGGGATCTTTGTTCCCACAGCTACCCGCAGATTCTTCCCAGAGACCTTTGCATGACTTGTTTTTTTTTTCATGATATTTAAGCTCATGGTCATATGTCACTTCTTCAGAGAGGCCCTCCATTAACACCTTTTCTCTCCTCTACTCTTCTATTTCAATTATTTTTCTTTATAATGCTTTTACCTGACAATATTATATTTATTTACATTTTTAGTGGCATAGTACCTAAGGCACTTGACTGCTAGCCAGAAGGTTGGCATTTCAAACCCACCAACCACTCCTCAAAAGGAAGGGTGGGTAATCCACTTCTGTAAAGATATCACCTTGGAAAGCCAAGGAGGGGTCACTATGAGTCAGAGACGACTCAACTGCACATAACAACAACGACGACAACAACAATCATTATTGAGTACTTATATTTCTGGCACTATTCTAGGAAAATAGTAACATTAATAACAATAACCCTATTGTTGTTATGCTGTTAGGTGCTGTCAAGTCAGCTCTGACTCCACAATGACCCTATGTACAGCAGGACGAAACATTGCCTGGTCCTGTGCCAGCCTTACAATCCTTGCTATATCTAAGCCTGTCATTGCTGCCACTATGTCAATCCATCTTGTTGAGGGCCTGCCCCTTTTTCACCTTACCAAGCATGATATCCTTCTCCAGGGACTGGTCCCTTCGGACAACAGGACCAAAGTAGATGAGACGAAGTCTGGCCATTCTTGCTTCTAAGGAACATTCCTGCTGCACTTCTTCCAGGACAGATCTGTTCATTCTTCTAGCAGTCCATGGTACTTCCAGTATTCTATGCCAACAGCACAACTCAAAAGCATCAACTCTTTTTTGGTGTTCCTTATTCATTGTGCAGCTTTCACATTCATTTGAGGCAACTGAGAATACCATGTCTTGGGTTAGGCGCACCTTACATTTCAAAGAGACACCTTCACTCTTCAGCACTTTAAAGAGGTCTTTTGCAACAGGTTTGCCCAGTGCAATATGTCATCTGATATTTTGGCTGCTGCTTCCATTGGTGTTGATTGTGGAGCCAAGTAATATGAAATCTTTGACAACTTCAATCTTTTCTTCATTCATTGTGATGCTGCTTATTGCTCCAGTTGTGAGGATTTTTGTTTTCTTTATATTGAGGTGCAATCCATACTGCAGGCTGTACTCTTCTATCTTCGTCAGTAAATGCTCCAAGTCCTCCTCACTTTCAGCAAGCAAGTTGTGTGGTCTGCATATCACAGGTTGTCATGAGTCTTCTTCTATCCTGATGCCGTGTTCCTCTTCATACAGTCCAGCTTCCCAGATTATTTGCTCAGCATACAGATTGAACAAGTATGGTGAAAGGATACGACTCTGATGTTCTCCCTTCCTGATTTTGAACCATACAGTCCCCTTGTTCTGTTTGAATAGCAGCCTCCTGGTCTATGTACAGGTTCCTCCTGAGCAGAATTAAGTGTTCTGGAATTCCAATTCTTCTCAATATTATCCACAATTTGTTGTGATCCACACAGTGAAATGCCTTACATAAGCTGTCTAGGGACCACAGTCTGAATTTTCACCAAACTCTATCAGACTAGGATGCCTAGTCTTTTTTTTTTTTTAATAATTTTGAGTTTTGTTCCCCATTTTTCTTTCACTCCATCCAAGATCTCCTATACTGATCCCTTTCTGAGTGGTTGACACTGGTAGCTGGGCACCATCTACTTCTTCTGGTCTCACAGTCATGTAGAATGAGGTTCCCATGGTCTACTAGTCCCTTGGCCTAAGGAAACCAACAACTCTTTTTAATTCCACCAGAGAATTGAGGTTACAGAGACAGTACAGAACATCACAACATACTGAGAACAGAAACTGCCCCAGGACCCAGCCTCAGGTAAAAATATTTAAAAGGTAATTGACTAGGGGCCTGAGCTTGAAAGATAAAGACTCCCTGAGGCCCAGCTCTAGGAAGGTTCCCCACACTTTCATGATGTTTGCTTCCAAGAACCCCACCAGGTTTTCACTCTGAGGATCAGAGAAAAGTACATTCTTGCTTCTAACAAAGAAAAGGAAAAAGTAACCATTTTGGTACACAACCAGAGTACTTTACAAAATGTTCTCCTTAACAAAGGCTCACTCTCAAAGGAAACTATTTTACCCAGTGTTAACTACATGGTCTCTGAGTCAGAATGACTCTACAGCACCTAACAAGAAGAACTGATGTGAGGGAAGAAAAATACCCAACTTCAGCCCTATCCTTCAATGTAGGAGAAGGGAAATACCCAACTCCTGTCTTCCTATTTCACCTTGCTGTTGAGTGCCAAGGTGACTTAGACTCATAGTGACTCCATGACTCAGAGTAGAACTGCCCATAAGAGTAGAAAAACAAAATCTGAGAAGC